GAACGTTACTTCGCGGCGCGGTCGCGGGCCCATGCGCCGCGTGCCCCGGGGCCGGCCTCGTGCGAGGGCACGCTCGCGTGGGCGCGAGGTGTCACCCCGCGACGCGGCGCCGACGGCCGAGATCGTCCCTTTTCGGCGCGAGCGATCGAACGACGAACGTACTTTACGCGTTTCCTGCGCGCCGCGAAAAGGAGGTTCGCGGCCGCGATCGGCGAACCGGTTCGCGGCAGCCGGGCAAGAGGATCGCCAACGTCGATCCACCACGTCGCGCCGGCGGAATCCACGCGCATCGCGCGCGCACACGAGCGAATGCACGCACGTACGCACGCACGCACGCACACTCGCGCGAGCGACGGGACTGACGGGAGAGCGACACGTAAGGCACGGTCCTCTTCGCGCCACGCGTTTGACGCCCAGAGACGTGGCAGCGCGCTTCCACGAACTTTCTTCACTGAGATGTACATAAGATCGAACACTCACGGTTTTTTTCTCTCTCTTTCTCTCTTTCTCGCTCTCGCGCGCGCAGTCTGTATTATCTTGGACGGAAGGTGATAACCCAGGACCGATACAGATTCCTCGACGGCGAGAGAGACCCCGGGCCCCGGAGGACCCCCGTGCCGGATATTCTTTCTCCAGGAATGAACTTTTCCGACCCGACGCGGTAGGTATCTGGAGCGTCTCCTCGGGGCGAAAACCGCACGCGGCACACTACTTCATTAGCTCCACCGTATTAGTGTCAATTACTCCGTGATTCGCGGCACGCAGCCACGGAATCCCGAAGTCGGATTTTATCGCGGGGGGGTTCCTCGTGCGTGCGGGCGAAACACGGAGACCCCGCCGTGCGTGCGTGCTGTGCGGACCGCGTAAAACGCGCTTCGCGACGGAGCGATCGCGGCGCGTAGCTAAGCCGGGGGACGGGACGACCGATCGTTACCCGCCTCTGGTGCGGACTGGGGTTCACCCGTTCGTTCCATCAGCCGAGAGGCCGAGAGCGGTCGCGAGAACGCGGCGGGACGTTGGGTATAGCGTGCGCGTGAGAGACGGCCGCGTTCCCTCTCTCTCTCTCTCTCCTCTCTCGTTTTCCTTCCTTCTCTCGCGCGCGAGAGACGGCTGGTCGATTCCACGCTGATCGCGCCTTCGTCCCGTCGATACGCACCTTCTTTCCGTCGTCGGTGGCCCGGTGGCTAACGGCGCGGTGCAGGTGCAGGAGGAAGCTCGCGGGCGTGCATCCCCGACGTCCGTCGTCTCGCACTAAACGGAGGATACGCCTGGCATCGCGCGGATTACGAGGCGCGCGGCGCGGCGCGGCGCGGAACGGTGCGGAGCGAAGCGGAGCAATGAGCGCGCCGAGCGCCGAGGTTAGGGCCGCTCGCGAGGAGTGGGGGGGAGGGAGGACGACACCTGTTCGACGTTCGCGGCAGCGCCTTCGCGCGCTGAGAGCGCCACACACCGACGCGATTGGAGCATTTGATAATAGCGCGGGAGCGGGATTGGCTCTCTGGGACACGGTCTTTGATATCGAGAGTCGGGAAGCGCGATCGTGCGCTCGCGATTTATCGACGCGACTCCGGCGCTGCTGTTTTTCGACGCCCCTGTCACCCCTCGTCCCTCGACGTCCCTTTGAAGGCTCTGAAGGGAACGCTCGGTGGAACAACGAGACTTCGATGTTTTAACGAAAATATTTAATATTCAAGACGTGTATACATGTCAGAGATCAATAAACGAATAAATATCGACAAGTTTATAAACAGTAGTCAAGTAATGTCATCTAATCAATAAATACATATATGCATGATGCATGCGATAATTTTTCAAGTTTGGACTTTTAATTTCAAAGAAAGATAATCGAAATACTATTTGAGCGACGTCTATGTTTTTTAAATCAATTATTTGAATTAATTAGAATAAAATGTAAAATCCCCCTAAATTGTCGAATATTTTTGGCCCGAACTTTCACGAGAGGCGAGGTATACCTCCCGGCTTCAAAAAACCGCTGCGCGTTCGCGTTCGCGCGGATCGCTCGCCAGATGGCGGCGCCGGTCGGCCGCTATATTGATCAAGTTGGATTTCGTGAGACGCACGTTGATAAGATCTCGCGAAAATTTTTCGATCGCACGCCAATCTCCTCCCGCCCGCGTGACGTGCGTGAGACGTGCCCGCGTGCGGGCGTGTGTATGCGTGTGCGTGTCCCCGTGCGTGCGTGCGTGCGTGCAGGCTCGCGTGTGCGTGTGTACGTCAGCATCTCCGACTCTTTTGACAATTCTGACATCCGTCGCTCTCGGTATAATCCGTTCGCGGCGGAGCACGGCGGAGCGGAGTGGAGCGGAATTCGGGCCCGAGCCGAGAGCCGAGAGCCGAGCGCGCGCGTCTCCCCCGGCAGTCGGCGGCGTCGCGTAAATCCTCCTCCCTCGCCCATGACGTCACTCGCGAATTACACAAGCGTCATCGCTCAGTCTGTTGTGGAAAATTTCGCGGGGTCCATGGTGGCAGCGGCAAGGCACGTCGCCCTTTGAGTGAGACCGGCGTACGGCGTACGGCTCCTCGTCGGCAACGCGGCGACGACGACGACGACGACGACGATTGAGTGCATCGCGAGCAGAAGTGAGCGCTCCTCTCTCTCTCTTTCTCGCCGTTCACCCTTTTCTCTTCTCTGTGTCTCTCTCTCTCTTTCTTTCTCTCTCTCTCGCTTTCTCCCCCAGCATCATCGTCAACGATCGTCGTCGCGATCATCAATTGATCGCCGTTCATGCCAAGCACGCGCGAAACTACAAAGAGGGATTTCCTGGCCGGAGTCTGTCCACGCGCCGTGTTGTTTATTGTCGTGTCGCCCGCCTCGGACGACGTCGACGGCGTCGTCGGAGCTCGTGGCGTCCCGACGGTGCGACGACATGTCGCCTCGTCGTGACACCTCGCACCTGCGTCACGCTTTCGTGACTCCTTTTTAACCAGGAAACTCCTCCCGATAGCCATTCATGCATGTCATCTCTATGAGCTGTTTCATGTTAGCCAAGATATTTTCTGTCCACGTCTATGTTGGTCGGAGACGAATATTTCGTTGTTACTCGATGAGGTCATTTTCTTTACGTAATAAAAGTTAATTACAGTTTTGGAAGTTGGTGATTTATTCTGTGCACAAAGTTTTAAATGTTCTATTTTAAAAGATTAACGTTTCTTATAATAGGATGTGTGTGTTAAGCAATGGAGACAATTTTCCTGTGAATGATTTTAGGTTGTTTGTGACAGTTTGTGTTAATTTATTTCTCTGTGCCATTTGTAGTATTTAGATTACATATGTTTGCACAATGTTAATTAGGTTTTTTTCCTCGTATTGCAGTCCAAGTTTACGAGAGACTCTTCCTATACCGTCACGATGTCTATGCAACAGTTTTGTCTGCGGTGGAACAATCATCAACCGAATTTTATCTCGGTTTTTTCCAATTTGCTGAATAACGAGACTCTAGTGGACGTCACTCTCGCCGCCGAAGGCAGGCAAATTCAGGCACACAAAGTCGTTCTGTCAGCATGCAGCACGTACTTTCAGTCGCTGTTCACGGTGAATCCTTGTCAGCATCCTATTGTCATACTCAAGGATATCAAGTTTTCCGACCTCAAGATTATGGTGGATTTTATGTATTATGGAGAAGTAAACATATCTCAAGAGCAATTGCCATCCATCATAAAGGTAAATATTTCGCGTTTGAGTAATTAAACATTTTTACATTTTGTGAATCTTGAAGAATCTTGAAGACGCTTTGCTTTGTTTAACAGACGGCAGAGAGCTTAAAGATAAAGGGACTCGCGGAAATGCATACGGCGTCGTTAACAAAATGGCCAAGCGGAAGTAGCGAAACAGGCGGAGGAGACCGTGGTGAATCTTGCTCGCCAAGTCCATCTCCATTGTCTCCCTCGTTTCGCAGAAAAAGGTTAAGGAAGTCTTCGACTGGCTCGACATCCGGTTCCGGTGACAAACCAGAGGAAATTAATGAAATCACATTAGTGGCTACTAACATTGTCAAACCTGAACCCCTCATTGTGTCGCAAGAAAGCGGGGAGAACTTGAGGCGACCAGTAAACACCAGCACAGAATCTCAAGGCAGTATTGATGAAGATCAGATATCAATTGTAAGTAAATATGACGTATTACTATATTATTGAATCGTGATCTTATTGAATCTAATTTTTAAGGAAATAAACTACAGCTCTTAGCAGAAAGTATTGTAAAGGAATAAATTAATTTTAATAATACGTGATGTTCCTGCATTTCAGATGAGTAATATGGAAACTAGTTCCGCTAATACGCCAGCTCAAAGTGACGGTTCTATCCAAGATGTAAGTCAACAATCGGGAGGAAACATTGGACAAAGTTCTGTTTCTTCGCAACCACCTGTTCATCAAGGTAAGATATCAATAAATATGCTTTTCAAATATGCTGTTTCAAACATAAATTTCGATAAAATATTTAAAGGAGAGAGTCATTCAGAATAGCATTACTTATTATAACATAAATTATATATGCTACATATTACATACACAGAAACAATCAATATATATTAGGAATTAATATATAAATCTATAAAAGCAAATATTTTTACTACATATTTTAATGCTGCATGCATAATTTTGTACATGGCTATGAATTGAAATTTTTCTTCACACATGTGTAGATGGAAATAATTTTTTTTATTTAGGTATGTTTCCCTAAATATTTTATATGTTTCCTGATTGTATCTTATTTTTTACATATAATTTGCTTATTTAGAATGTGCTGTTTATATTATCAATTATATTCTATAAAGATTAATTTCAAAAAAGCTTTAATACTTATGCATATTAAATATATTTAAAGCGTATTTATTGGTCTGTATATATTTTATGAGTCAAATAGGACTATACACAAAAAATTAATAGAATAGGAAAAACAGTTTTATTAACTTAATGTTTAATATGTGTATATATAAAAAAAGGTAAAAAGAACTCTTTCTTTTGTATTTTTGTAGTTTTTAAAGATTTATGATTTTTAGGCTATCTTTTAAGATTTCTTTTTTAATCCATATTAAAAGAGAAAAAGTTACTTAATAATAAAGAATATATCTATATATTCAAATCTTGTTATTTAGCAAGCATTTAATTTTCTTTGTTTTCGTAAAGATAAGTTAGTTCGATAAATACTTCATTATTATCGATTGTGTAACAGATTAGTTATAGCGTTAGTAATCTAACTGATTGTGTGCATAGGCGTAATAGTATGGAAAATATAGTTTTTAATTTCACGGGAAATGTCATGCGTGAATGATTAGCTACATTATAAATTTAATAATATAATTTCTCTCAAGGTAGATCGTACATTATAAATCCATGCAGAATGTTCAGGCAACTTTGGCAAATTGCATGACACCTCCCCTTTAAGCAAATCTCTCCGACAATCGTTATTTGAATTATGCATATTGACTGTGGTGGGTATTTGAACTGCATGTCGATAAGCGAAAGTTACACACATTATATGCTGGCACAGATGCGTTTAAATGTATTGCACAAGGAGAATCAACAGACGTTTGACATGAAAATAGAGCGAAATTTCAGGAATTGAAATTCTAATAATGCGAATGTGCAAAGAAAAGATTGTTTCTCATTCATGAAAGAAAAATCACCATGGTACACAGATACATAGCACACAGTATGTTATATTTCCGGAGGGATAGCATATCGGGCCTTTGACATTAACGGAGTTATGTATGTGTGCTTTACTCTGCCCTATAAGTGTAACGAATGCCGTACACATATTTCAATATTTCAATATAAACAATGATGTGCTTAAAAATGTATCTGTGCCATGCCGCAACTCCATACTTAATATGCTCATATATCGTTTCTTCACAAGATTTTATTTTTAATATCTATTATCTTTCGCTTACTTAGCTTAGTATCGTTTTTCTACATATCATAGAATACATTTATTTTCTTTTGATTAGATCATAATTTATGTATGCCTCGTTTTATATGAACAGATATGCCGATATGACATTATTCGTTATTATTCATAGTTCAAGTTACGTTATTAATAGCGCAGTAAATATAATTGTGTAAAAATTGCATTTTTTAAATTGAGGTTTTTGATATGATATACAGGTAAAATAAAATTTGTATGGGAATATATGAATTATCGTATCAACAAGTCGGACAATTCTCGAAATCTTTACGTCGAGACAGATTTAAATATAAATCCGAGTTAAACATATTTCTTTGCTTAACGTTTATTTTGTAATGTTTCATAATATTACGATCACATAAAACTCTCTCTCTCTTTCTCTCTCTTTCTCTCTCTCTCTCTCTGTCTCTCTCTGACTTTATCATTTACCTTTGCCGTAAACGCAAAGCGGGTTAATAATTCCTGTGCTCTGACCAAAGATCAATCGGTCTGTTCTACAGGATTACAATGGACTATTATGGAGCACACATATCATCCGACACGTTTCGCTCTGTCCTCGTGTCAAACGAATCTGTCGATCCAAGCGTCGTCGGCATTTACGACGCCCGAAATAACAGCATCCTCGACCATCAGCGATCAGTACTCTGGTACCAGCACGACTGGTTCCAGTTGCGCCCTGACGAACTATCCGAACTCCTCCCACGGGACGTTGCAGCACGCGTCGTCGGGTGGCCCCTCGCCATCGACGCAGTGCCCCAGTAACTGCCAGAGCCCCTGCGCCAGCCCGCAGACTGCGATTAAGAGGAAGCGCTCGACTAATCCGCAGGCGGACGAGAACTTTATACGCGCGCTCGACGCCGTGCGCTACGGTGGTATAGGGTTTTGCAAGGCGGCCAGGATGTTCGGCGTGAACAACCGAACGCTCTGGCTCGAGTATAAGAAGCGCGGCTACCCGAACAATCGGCCCAGCCTCAAATCTCGCGTTAAGCAGGAGGTCAATTCCTCGCCGCCGCCGGCACCCCCGGCGCAGCCCATGAACTCGCAGAGTCCAACGCCTATGGGCCCGCCCACGACTCCGCACAGCACACATAACACACATAGCACGCACACCATGCTGACCAGCCACAGTCCCCACACAATGCTGAGTGGTTACATTGACAGGCATACGGACTATACGCTACCGAGCTCCACGATGCCGATCAATCTGCACGGCGTTAATTACAATGCCATGTGAACTGGCATGTCCTACCCGGAAAATCGCTTGTATAGACGAGCTTGAGATTCTTCCTTACCGCCCCTTTCTTTTTCTCCCGCTCCTCGTGTACAACTGAATCTACCGCGACTACCTGTGTCAGTAACGAGGCGTCAGTAGTGAGACATTGACAAGTCAAACGTTTCAATTTTTGGACATTTTTCCGCCTGGCTGTAATCACAGATTTTTAAGTATTTAGATTTTTTTTTAATATTTAGAGATTGAAATATAATTTTTATATATTGTATACGGAGATTTATTAGATATATTGTACATTTTTCTTTAGCTACAGACGATTTTAAAGATTTGAATTTGACTTATCTTTATATTTATATATAAATGTAAGATTTACAGGTTTTTAAATTAACTTAATATTATGATTATTAAAAAAATCTAAATACTTAAAAATCTGTGAGTATAGCCAGGCGGAAAGATGTCTAAAAATTGAAACGTTTGACTTTTCAACATTTTGTTGTGTATCGTGAAACACGAGTTATAATTAGAGTGAAGATTTTAGTATTGTCTAGAAACGGTGCAATTTTATTGCTTCAATAATTAGAACGTTACGATATTGGTAATAATAAAACCATTTGCACCGATTATGAGTTCGAGGATCAGTCAACAATTAAATTTTTGTGACAGTATGTTTTGCAATATTCTTAATTCACTTTTGCTATTCTGCGGTTAATTTTTATTAATTATCACTTTCTTTTTAATTTGAATTATTTCTTCGATTTATTTCAATGTTACTATCACGAATACAATGTTTATTGATTAAGCTTCTTTCTATTTATTAACAACTTTATCTATATAATGTTCTCTTCATGTTAACTGTTAGTATACCAAAGATCTTGTAATGATCTTTTGCTTCTCTGAATCCTTAAATTATAAAAATCTGGCGATAAATCTTTATTTTTCTTTAGTGCATTGTTATTAATAAAGTCACCAATGATAAAATTGACATTTTTTACCATTTTCAGTGCCGTTATTTTATCGTAGGTGAGACTTATTACTGTTAATTATCTTATCTAAAAAGTCCAACGTCAGAAATAATATGGACTTTGCCGTTGATTGTTGACTAATCATCGTAGTCTATCATATAACATTTGTAAATATTAAATTACGAATAATTAAAAATTATTTGTATTTGCGTTATCTGTATTTGCACATGAGTAACGGTACAGATTATTGAAGAAACGATCATCGTACGAGACTACGATGCACACACGGAGATAATTTATCAATACATGTATTACAATTATATATATATATATATATATATATATATATATATATATATATATATAATTGTAATAATTGTTGCTATGTTGATAAATATATGAGAAACATTATAGATATTTTATATTTTCTTTTATACCTGGAAGTTTGTTTAATTTTTTGTGCTTTTTATGTTGTATGCATGAAATTGAGATATATTTTGTTATGTATTATAATAGAGTAATTTTTTTAAACATTATTACTTTTTTTCCAGGTATTTATATTTACTTATCTGCTTCTGTTAATTAAAACAAAAATTTACATTGACGGAAACGTTGGATAATGATATAAACAAATGCAATTGTATACTCGATGTATTAAATATCTCAAATCAAATCAAACTTCGTGAAAATAGTTCTATCATTTCGAAGCAAAATGTAAATTTAATGTGAGATATGGTCAGTTTTAGGAAAAGCGCACTCGTATATAAGGAATGAATGAATATATATGTACATTATTTCTTTATCTGTTTCCCTGTTATGTTTAATCGCGATAATGATTAGTCTAATTCTCTCCCCACAGTGTGTAAAATATGATAGGTACTTGATACAAAAACAAATCTGGTTTTTTAATATTAATTGTAAAATAAATGTAGGACACATATATACGAACTTTATCAAGATTAATGTTCCTAATTTAGCTTGCAGGAACAATTTTTTTCTTATTTGTTGTACTATTTGTTACGTATATATTTAATAACTGAATTATTAGGACAGTAAAGTAATCACAAAAGAATGCGAACGCTTAAAGCCGTGATCAGACTACGGATTGGGATTGAGATTGGATTGAAATTTAATCAATTAGAATAAAGGAAACTAACTTCAAGTTTAGTGAACTTTGCTCTAATTGGTTAAATTTCAATCCAATCTCAATCCCAATCCGTAGTCTGATCACGGCTTAAGATAACTTGAAAAACATTTTGAGATTGTACATCCTACTTTTCATTTGTTTCTGTAAACTGCAAAAACTTTCGGTTACTGCAGACCGAAGACAAAGCTGCTTTGTGCGAAGATCGTAAAATATATATTTGAGTGATTTGACTTAAATAGAAATTAGTTCTTAATATATAGTAAAATTAGCTGTTAATTGCACTGTTAAGGAGCATTTATACCCCCCTTATATAAACGATTGAAAAATAATTCAGAAGAAATAAAAATTATTCTAACAATTTGCAACAGAATAGGAGTCCTTATTTCTCTTCAATATTTTACGACCTTTTTTTCTTTATTAGTCCGAGCGAACAATTGATATTACAATTATGTTGCGATTATCAATGCATCAGTTTTCGACGAAGAGATTATCCGAAGAAGAAACGATTATAGTAATCAAAGTACGATTATCTAATTATGATTATTCTTGTGTTATCATGTTATACAACATTTGCCTGTGATTATTGAATAATTGCTTGACACAATTATTAATCTTTTTGTGTACTATTAATATATACAACTGATGTATCCAAATAAGGAACTCTTAACACTAAAATACAGTGATTCATCTTCAACGCAAGATATCAATCTTTGTTGTAGAATAAAGACTAGCATCAATTTACGTTTACTACATCTAAAAGCAACGTCGATGTACCGATTCTTCTCGCCACGACTAAAATCTACTTATTTATTATTATAGTTCTTCATTGCAAGCAGTCGCACATAACGAAAAGGACTCGGCTGCTGATCAGACAGCCGCGAGTGAAGAAGGAGCCGAGTCACCTGTCGCCGGACGGCGAAACGGGCTCCTTTTCGCCGCACATTGTCTCGACCTCCGTTCACCTCGCCACGCCGACGCTGAATCTTCCCCAAACGTCGAGGAGCTTCGAAGAGTCCCGTATATCGCCACCGCCGCACACCATGCTGGTCAGCCAGCAGTCGAATCTGCTGGCGGTGACAACGCCGTCCAACTTGCTGGCGGTGCCCCAGCCGTCCTACCTGACGAAGCAGCACTCGCATCCACTGCTGTCCAGCCAGCAACCGAGCACGTCCGGAACGTACTGGATACACCGGCAGCACTCGCATCCGGAGCTGCCCGGCAGGACCACGAGTCCATCGATAGTGATCGAGCCGGCGCCCGTCCTTAAAACGGAGGAAGAGGGAAGCGAGGAGACCTCGACTCCGGCTGCATCGGCTACCACCGAGCACCTGGGGACCAGCGGCGGCAGCGGCGGCACTTCCGGCGGACTGAGGGTCAAGACGACGGAGTTACGGCGAGCTTCCTCATCACCGCAGGTAAATATCAGCCGCGCGTTCGTACAAAACAGATCAATGACAAACATATGCGTGAAGAAGATCACTACTGAGATCACTAAAGGATGTCTAGATGTACGAAGATCGAGATTAGCTGTTGATGGATTCAATTTGTAGTATGAGGATTGGATATGAAAATTCAAGATTTATAAACACATTGTGAACATTAATTTATAAATCGTGTCAAAATATTAAGCCATTAACATCCGAAGAACTAAATTCGTCTTGTTCAATATTAGCAGATTGTGCAGATTGATGCAGAATTAATTTCTTTTCGCTCTTTATTTATATAATTTATTATCTTTAAAATCGCAACGGGTCTTATTAACGGATCTAAATAAATGTAATATATCTTCTTACATAGACGAGCAGTAGCAGAGAGCCTCGCGAGGGCATGGGGGATCAACGATTAGGTCACTGTCCGGTGTTACGCCAAGGCCCTGCCTTAGGCTGCAATCACTGCTGGAACACGATAGACGCCCACGGCAGGATACTTCGTAGGAAGACCAAGTATCATTGTCCCGAATGCCAGATCAATTTGTGCATCGTGCCCTGCTTTCAGGAGTACCACGAGCAGCGGCGCGAGCTGATTTCCAAACTGAAGCCCTTACCAAAAACTAGCTCTGTTTAATCTCCCCTCTGCTCCTCCCCGATGTAATTCTGTTTTAAGTAATCGTTTAAGTAATCGTTACTTATCGGATTACGTGTTAAAGCACGCGCTTTAAATGTGTGAAGGTTTAACGTGATGATGACGGAGTAACGAGCCCGTCGTTAGCGTGTGACATTATTTTTCTCTTGTACGACGATGTGTATGAGTCATCAGATTGATATCGTTTACCAAGACTTTCATGACTTGATATATTTTCGTAATACATTTATAGTGTCTATATAATTGTTGAAGTAGGCGAAATCATTGCAATCTCGCAGTTTGATGATACGAATATTTATAATTGTGTGTATTGAGAGTTTTCTCCTTTTCTCTTAGTCTTTCAATAATTTTCACATTTTCACGTAGCCACATTTTCTGAGTTAAGTAGTTCTGAGTTTACGTTTATCAAGGAACTTTTAGTTCTAATCAAAAGTAAAGACTTTACTTTAAAATTAGCATAGAAAAAAAGTTTATTTTAACGTAGATATGGAGAAATTAATATATTATTTTTTCACGCAGTTTTATAAAATTCATGACAAAAGTGATGTATCGAGATTGGATGTAAGACTACCTGTTACTCTGGAAAATATGTAAATAATTATTGCAATGCTCGGCACTTTATTATTATCGTTATTATTTATGTTTAGCACATATTATATATATAAACATTCTCCGTAAAAAAAAAACATATCAATTTAAATAATATTACAAAAGTAATAAGGATACCTAAAATTTTCTTTAAAGTAATTTATTTTCGTATTAATACATATTGCAAAATTTTGATTATTTATATTAGTAAAATGCGCATTAGTAAAAATTGCAATCTATCTAAACTAGACATTATCTAAATTGATAAATTTTATTTTTTTTTAATACAAAACGTTTCTGATAATATGCAGACATAATTTCAGAAGTGAATTCAGCGTATATAAATCTAATAAAAATAGTTTACGTATGAATAATTTTATCCTATTCGAGTTTGCTTACGAGCTATATACGTTTTGTATTATACGGTTTTTCTTTTTTTACAAAATTGTTTTTATTCAACATTGATCACTTCGAATGAGTCTGAATGTAGGTTTCTGAATTTATTTAGCCCAAAATTTGCTGAAAAACAAAAACGATTGTGACTCAGGAACAAAGTCAGATAACGTATACAAACAGGTGCTTTCAGCTACCCAATTATCTTTTCTGAAATATTCCCATATATGAGAACATAATGTATTGTGTATATTTTATTACAAGTGTACATTCTAGCTTCACGCGTATCGTTCGCATGATTTTCAATGTTAACGTATTTGACGTTAATTATTTTACCAGATATATTTTCCATCTTTCGTCCAATCACGCTACACCGTATGATCTCAAAATAGAACCCTCTCGCACTATGTCTGTCTTTGTCTCCCTTTCTCTCTCTCTCTCTCTCTGTCTCCCACGTGTACGAGTGCATCGAGATAATAATTTCTCTCGACGACGACACGCAGACACTAATTTCGGAGACCATGAATTGCGAGATGGAATTGCAAATAAAACGAAAAAAAAAAGAAACGAAACGAAAGGTAGAACCGGCTGAAAAACAGACGCGGCAGCCACTGAAACGAGAGCTTTGGCACACGTGCAACGATCGAAATTCGGTGTACTTTTATAAATCACTTCCTACCATTCGCAGGGCCACCCCTATCGCCACCTGTAACGACACCCCGCCGTTAATGCGTCCGTGTAAAATTTGTCGCCCTTCGTTCCGTGAGTAATCGAATGCGGGACGCATGAGGCTCTTCTCTTAATACGCGAGTTTTGGGATAAAAAAAATAGTACAAGCGCGGGATCCGCATGTTACATGTATATATATGTGTGTTATATATTTCAGATTTTCTAATTGCACGTAACGAAGCGTTTTCTAAATTTAAAATTGTGCTGTGACCGCTACGTAGTAAAGTAGTAGCCATTATTTATGCTGGAAAGAAATTACAAGCATATATTTTGTTTAAAGACGAAACGTTTGTAAACAAATAACGGCTTTTTTGCGATAATTTTTTTCTGAGGTTTAACAGTTTAGATGAACGTACAGCTATTTCGTAAATTGAGAATGACTGCTGTTAGCGAGAAACATTGATTTTACTGTACACTACAGACTTCTGAAGCTTGTCTTTCTGTTTTGTTTCAGTGACTCGCATAAACAAAAAAATGTTATCTTCTAACCGGATGTTCCATTTCTACCGCAGGTTTGATTTCAACGCGATTTTTCGCGGTACATATCTATCAAGCCTCTCCGCTTGTACTAACTTTTTTCTCCCTCTCCTTTATTCCCCGGGCTAATTTTCGACTGCGAAATTTCACGTACTATTTGTCACCCAGATCCCAGACTCCGAGCATTTTTTATGTGTGTCTCGTGCATTTATCGCGGAAGAGTGTCGGAAGAGTGCCGACACGTGTCGCGAGCAACGGGATGGCCGTATATAGAAGTGACCGTGTAGAAGATTTTTCTCCACGGGGGAGAGAAAAGTCGTGGTGATGGATTAGGCCGTATTCGTTCCGGCCATTTCGATAAATCACGATTTGCGAGGCGGACAGGCCGAGGATCTCTGCCGCGACCTGCGCACGTTTCCCCTGACACCTCCTTTGCGAGCGGCACCGAGCAGGCGTTCGCGCACTTTGTACGTACATGTTGAAGATGTTGAAGATGTAGAAATATCGTGCAATATATTTTTCTCGACATTACAGATGTATTATATGCGCAAGCGTTATACCGATTAATCATATTTTATGTAAATCTAGCCTGAGAAATTCGTAAATTAAAATAAAAATAATGTGAGATCACACAACGACGCCCGGATCAATTATCTCCCGCACCAGACAATTCCAGACTCATCAGTCTGATGCAAAGCACGGTACCCCATCTTATAATATTAGATGCGATATTTATCGCGCGCTTCTAATGTTCATATTTAATAAAACAATTATTTGATTTATCCGATTGAAAAAAGGGGCTGTTCAAACAAATAGTTTTCTTTTGTTTTTTCCCTAAAATTGTTATCAAAGTATGCTTTTTTTGTCATAGTTTTTCTTTCCATGTCGAAGATACGCAATCCGAGCAACTCGAGCGAAAGAGGTCACAGATGAAAAAAAAAAAATACAATCTTGGCCACAATATATAGATAGAAACACTAAAATATAGATTAAAAATATATAGGTAAAATATAAATAAAAGATAACAGCCACACCACAGGATGACAATTGGAAAATTGCTAAAACTAAACAGCTTTTATTTTTTAATGAATGGACGGAACGAAAGAGAGATAAAACTATTAGCTGCGTTACAGTGGTAAAAGAATAATATTAATTAAAAGCTGTTTAGCCGCCGGTTTGTTTCCCCATCACACGGCCGTCGAATCTTCGAGCAAATCCTTACTCGCAATAAATTCGCGAGGGTCGGACTTTTTCCCCGGGTCGGTCGGTCGGTCGTCGCCGCCGCCGCGGCGGCATCTCCTCGGCCGCGTGTACGTCCGCGGGATGTGGGGTCAGCCGTTTCTTCTGCGCGCAAGCTGACGCCACCGCCACGGCGGGCGTCGTAACGGCAGTAACCCCTCGTCGCATAACGCGCGAGACGGAAGAGCCGTCATCTTGGATCCCCCAAAAGCCGCGGCGATATTGTACGCGCAGCCGGTGCCCCGTCGACAGCTGGACCCCTCGTCTCTCCGGCTCTCTTTCTCTCTTTTTTTTCTCTCTCTCTCTCTCTCTTTCTCTTTCTCTCTCGGGAGAAACGAAAAGTCACCGCGCGGATTAATCGCCGGCGGAAAACCTCCCTTCGATACATGAACGCGGCTCGTGGGAGGTCAATCTTGTTAGGGCGAGAGAGCGCATTACGCGGACACGATCCGCGGCAAAGCCGACGGATACGCGTGTTGCACGCGTCCTTCGCGCGCCGATGGCACCCCGACGCGTCCCCGACGCGACGGCAGGACGCTTTAAAGCGGACGTCTGATTCTCGTTATTGTTGTCGTATTGATTACGCACTAAGCTCCTTGCAAGTACCTTCAAGGGGATTGATAAAGTTAATGAAAATGAAATTAAGAAAAGTTATTCTTGAAATTATTTGCGGGCTTATCACTCTAATTAAATCTACTTTCTCTTCTTCTATATTGTATCTATTGCTTATATTGTGTTATTTCATGTCGCGGTTGTTAATTTATTTTGTAGTTTACTTTCTGTGTATTTGCATCAGTTGTGCGCAAAGAGACAAGAAATCATTAATTAAAATTAATTACACTTTTACATCGTGGAGATGTAATCTTGTTTAAATTGAGAAATAATGTTAATGCATCGCAGATTTTTATTAAAACAATTGAACAAAAGTGAAAGCTTGTAAATCAACACGGCTGTCAACAGTAAATACGATCGTTAAATTGTATCTTTTTTTTTTGCCGTGAAACAATAGTTGAAATGTTAATGTAAATTTATGAATTTGAGAAAAATTCGTGAACTAAAGAAGTATCTTGATTTTTTAAATTCATATTTTTACAATCTTGAGATACAATTGTTAAATGATTGAATGATCTAAAAATGCATCCCGATAACACTAACAATACGTGAAAAATAAACTAAGGTTTGACAAATAGAGGAATTAAAACAAAATAACATCGAACTTAACTTACAATGAAAATCTCAAATGATATAAGCTACATAAAGCCTTGTGTCCACGATACTAGAAATCGCTTCAAGATCTCGGACGGAGAAAGAATTGACCAATCACATTTAAACAATTCGGCCAATTGACTCGGAGCGATTCTAGCGTCGTGGACGCACAAGACTTTAGTGGAAAAAAAAAAGTGTTTAACAAATATGATATTTCGAATAGATACTCGGACCTCGGTAAGTATTAACAAGAGAGATTATTCGGATCTTTAGGATTTTATACACTTGCGTTTGTGGGAGTGGTTTACTCTTTGATTACCTGAGCATCAGAGAGACCTGATTTTTATGCACAAGTAATATTTATACAAATTAATAAGTTTCGAACAATAGTTAGGAAGCATGCGCGAAAATTAGTCTAATGCCTTTTTAAGTCATATTTAATTCTCCCTATTCTTTTCATCTCTCTTTCTCTCTTTATGCATAATCGCATTATGCTAGCGTAGGGTCCGCGCTCTGTTCTCCCTTCTTCTCATCCCTGTCCATCGTTTTGTTCCTCCTGTGTATAGACGCGGGGCGGAAACCCGTGGCGATATCGCCGCATTGTGATGCAATGCACCGTAGAAAAAAGGAGCAAAGCTGCAATTTCAAAAGCGTCAGACAAAAACAAACATCGCGATGTTGACGTGTCACGGCACAGATAGCTTGTTTCGAAATGGAAATTAAATGGTAGAAAACGAAATATATTATTCGATGAATGAAAGTAGGATTTGATGAAGTTACCAGCAATTTGTTGAAGTTATGGACGTCCATTTGAAAGTATAAATTGTGAGCGGGAAATAGGCTTTGTGCGACAATTATTTTAACAATAGCAATTAGCAGGTGGATTCGCAGACTGAAAGACATTTTGCGACGGTGTTAGAAGAAATATTATGCGCTACAAAGGACTCATTTACAATAGAATACAAAACCCAGGTAGCAGAGTGACGTCAAATGACGTATTAATTCCGTCTTAATGACATCTCTAAC